TAGATGTTTCAGGGGCATAAAATCCTTAGTCTCTCTCTTTTCTCCCATCCCTCTGTGCCCAGTCGTCATTAATCCTGTGGCTGGGAGAAACTTCACTCCCTGAGAAATACGCAGGGGAGCAAGAGAGGTGAGGTTACAGCTCGGGGAACGGAGTTACCCTGGGATACGGAGATGAGGGGAAGGGCCAGGATCAGGGTCAGAGCAGGGAGCTGGGCCGAGGGCAGGGGATGAAGGTGGGGGGGTGAGCGCCGCAGTGCGGTCAGACACGGAGCGAGACTCGGGGCTGGGGCCAGGCAGTGGCTGAGGGCCATGAGAGCTCTGGGGCTCGGCCCGGGGCCCTTCTCCAGCGCCCCGGCCCCGCACGGGGAGCACGGGACGGAGCTCCGGAGCTGTGCCCGGGGAACGCCCGCGGGGGACGGAGCGGGAGCGCCCAGAGCCAGCCCCGCATGTGGCACTGCTCACCCAGAGGCAGCCCCGGTGTGACACTCCCGGGTCACCCAGAGGCAGCCCCGCTGTGCCGGGGGACACCCACACCGGCCCCTCTGCCGCTCCCGCCTCACCCACACCCGGTCCCGCCCCGCCTCACGTCAGCGCCCTCACACACAACTGCCGCCGCGCCGACCCGCCCGCACAGAGCCCCAGTAGCGCGCCGTGATCGTATAGTGGTTAGTACTCTGCGTTGTGGCCGCAGCAACCTCGGTTCGAATCCGAGTCACGGCATCGCCCGGCGGTACCACGGCACACGGGCTCTCGTTTTTTTGACATTTTCTTGCTCTGCCGCCTCGTGCTCTGGTTTTTTGTCACGTCGCGCCAATATTTCATTTTTCTTTCTTGTTTTCTGTCGGTTGCCGGCGGGGCTGCGGGGCTGAGCTGGGCCCGGCGCGGGGAGGTCCGCGGGCGCCGGGGAGAGAAGGAGCGGAGGGACTGAAAACAAGAAAATAACATAAGATGAAAAAAAGAACATAAAAGTAGAATTAATAAATTAAATAATAAAATTAAATTTTTAAATACACGAAAATAAGATGAGAGGAGAGGATGAGGTACAAAGTAAGAGTAAAATTGAACTAAAAATCGAATTTTAAAAATAAGTGAAAACAAAATATGTATTTAAAAATTAATAAAATTATACTAATATATTAAGTAAAATACAAGTAGCTATAATAAAATAACTACATACTTAAATTTAAAATAATATGAAATGAAACATTAAAATAAAATACAATAGGAAAAAACAAAGGAAATATAATAATTGATAACATAAAGGTAAATAAAGAAATAAAAATTCAAAATAGAATAGAGGAAAATGAAAGAAAATATTATTAAGTATAAGAATAAAACAGTAAAAATTAAAAACGAAAATGAAAATTAAGTTACGTTAAACAGATAAAATGAAATAGAATTAAATGAAAATAAATAAACTAAATAAAAATGCTAAAATAATTTAAAAATAATAAAATTAAGTTCAAAATAATAGGAGAGAACAACAAATTTAAATTATGAAATAAAACCAAAGATACGTTTGAGGCGGGAAGAAGTCAAAACGAGAGCCCGTGTGCCGTGGTACCGCCGGGCGATGCCGTGACTCGGATTCGAACCGAGGTTGCTGCGGCCACAACGCAGAGTACTAACCACTATACGATCACGGCGCGCTACCGGGGCTCTGTGCGGGCGGGTCGGCGCGGCGGCAGTTGTGTGTGAGGGCGCTGACGTGAGGCGGGGCGGGACTGGCTGTGGGTGTGCCCGGTCATACTGGGGCTGCCTCTGGTGTGCTGCGAGCGTCACACGCGGGGCTGGCTCTGGGTGTGCTGTGAATGCCACACTGGGGCTGGCTCTGGGTGACCCGTGAGTGACACAACACACCAGGCTGGCTCTAGGCGTGCCGTGAGTGGCACACCGGGGCTGCCTCTGGGTGTCCCCTGTCACAGCGGGGCCAGCTTGTCACACTGACTCCTTGTCACACTGGGCCTGCCTGTGGGTGTCCCCTGTCACACTGGGGCTGCCTCTGGGTGACCCGTGAGTGTCACACTGGGGCTGGCTCTGGGTGACCCGTGAGTGCCACACGCGGGGCTGTGGGACCTCGCCGAGGCGCGGTGAGGCAGCTTAGCCCAGCGTCGCAGCCGCCGCTTTCACGGTGTCGCCCTTTGTGACCCCCACGCTGCCCGGCGCCATCGCGCCCTCGCTCCGCAGCCCTGGGCAGCTCTAGCGGGATTGGATCGGCCGAACCCGCGGGGCTGGCACCGAGCGCGGTTTGTTTACGGGCGGCGTGTGGCACGTGGTGCCCTGAGCGCCCCGTGCTATCGCTAATCATCACCAATGCCTGAACTGATTCCTGCCAGCCCCGGTTTGGCACCCTCGGAGCCACATCACCGCTCCCTGTGCAAACAAAGCGCGGGAGGTACCAGCAGAGTGCACAAACCTGGGCATTGGATTCCCATCATCTGCGTGAAAAGGGCGTTTCGGACACACAGTGCAAGGCGATGTGTTTGTTGGCTTCCACCCCGTCCCTCTCGGGGACCAGGGCACATGGCTTCATGCCACTGAAGCCTTGGAGGCCACGTGTGGCGGGCTCTGTTTTCCTTTGGGAAACATTTCCCGGGGTGGGGTAAAAGTTTGATTTCTACTTTCAATATCTCTCCTGCAGGCTCGTTTTGCCAAGGGGGAAAGTCCCGCGGCCGCCCCTCCTTTGGATGGCGCGGTGCCCTGCCCGGCCGCGCCGCTGGGCTTCCCTGCCCGCCCTTCCCGGCAGCCGGGCGTGAGCCCCGGGAGGAGCGGCGGCCCCAGCCCAGCCCAGCTCTTTGGACCGAGCTGTTAATGGGTAACCGGACACGGGCCCGGCAGCTGCGGGGCCGGCGGGCTGAGGGTGAGTGCCGGGGGACGGCGGTGCCAGGGCGGGGGAGCCGTGAGGACTCGAGGCCACCGGGGGATGAGGGACACGGGGCAGGGGGTGCCGCGGGCACGCTGCTCCAGAGGCTGCAGGGGACACAAGGAGTGAGCAGGGAGACAGGTATGCAGGGGGCACTGGGGACAGCCGTCTGCTTCCTCCTTCATTATCTGCCCGTCCCTGTGGTCCAGCTCCTGACGGGACAGCAGCCAATGAGACTGCACCAAAACAAGAGATTTTGGGGCTGGCAGGGTGGGGGACAAGGAGGTGGCAGCAGCCCTGGCGGGCACTGAGCCTGAGATGGGGACACAGCCAGGGACCTGGGGTGGTCCTGGAACTCCGTGAGATCCTGGAGGGGTCACTGAGCCCAGATGGGCACTGGGGAGTGTCCTTGGAGTGGTGATGGACTTGGAGAGGGGAGTCCTCCTGATCTGTGCCAGGGTCCTGGAGAGACGTCCCTGAGCACCAGGAGCACCAGCGATGCTGGAGGCCCTGGGTTCCCACCATGGCCCTGGGTCCTGCCCGGCTGCTGAGGAGCCACAGGGACACACTGGGGCCAGGACACTCCAGTGGTTCCCCATGGTGGCTCTGCCAGCCTGTGGAGCCCTGGCCACTCCACCTTCAGCTGCCATGAGGTCCCATGATGAGGAGGATGTTCTCCAAAACTCCCCACCTTCACCTGTTGCGTTTGGGGCTGAGCCCCTTCAATGGACACTGAGAGAAACTGGCGATGACCCTGTGATCTCCTCCTTCTTCACACAGAGCTCTGCAATTCTCCTCAAAGCAAAGACAACATCTTACTGCCTCTGTCCTCACACAGAAGCGCTTCTACAGTCGATCACTGCCTTGCCTGCGACTCTCTGCTCTTCCCTCAGCCTTCTCCAGGTAGGGCAACCGGGTGGGTGTCCAAATGGGATGCTCCAAGGGTTCCTGCCCTGGCATGACACTGGTTCTTCTGGGTTTGCTGGACCAGTTCTCCCAGTATGATTCTCTTTTAGGACCAATCCCTATGCAAACTATCAGTCATTCCTACCCCTTGTTCCTTCACTATGTTAATTATCAGCATGAAAGGATCTTCTTCCTCATCTTACTCGGTTGTACCAAGACCTTTTGAGGATGAAGGATACTTTTTGAAAAATCCCTCTTGCAAAGGTGTTGCGTTGTGATTTCAGGGTTTACCTCAGAAACCCGGTCCCTCCCCTGATAATTCTCTCCCAGGTGTGTGAGTCACCTCTCCTTTCCCTGGAGCGCTGTCTGTCAATCCTGGCATTCCAGAAGGGCTTGGAGTGATTGGCAGATTCAAAGGATGCTCTCTACCCTGGGGGGACATTGGGCCATCCAGGTGTCCTTTGTCCCTTGAGACCTCCCCTCCTGTGCCTGGTTGGTGGCTCCCTACCCCTTCCCTCCCCTCTCTCCGGGGTTAAAAGAGCCAGCAGCCACGAGGTCTGAGAGTTCTGTTGCTGCATTCAGAGCCCTGCGGGCCAGAATAAACTCTGGATCAAAACTCTCCATCAGAACCGACTCCTCTCCTTCACCATCACCATAAAGCTTCTCTGCCAAAGGCTCCATCCCGCCACCACCAGAGCTCCTGCAGGCCTGGACCTGCCTCCATGTGCCCAGCTGCAGCATCCAGCCAGCCAAAAGTGTCTCTGAGGTGAAACACCACAGTGCCGCTATTTGGTTCAGCACCAACGGCCAGACAAGCTCAGGCACGTCCTGTCCAGCTATAGTGGTATTATTCCAACACAAAGAGGCTCACAGAGGCTGGTGGGCACTGTCACCAGCTTGGAGGGGGAGTACCAGCACTCCCTGCTGCGTACAGTCCTCTCCTGCAATTCCTTGGAAGCACAGCAAAGACCTCTCTGGAGTTACAGGAGAACAGGAATTCAGCCCACCAGCACCATGGCCTGAGGACCCCACAGCATGGTCCCTCGATGTGCTGGGGCAGGACCTCCTCTGAACACTGACTGCAAGGGGTGTTCTTCTCTCAGGGCCCCAAAACTGAAAAGCAGAGTGGGACATTTGAGCTTCCCAGAGGTGATCCCAGTTTGCTCTCCCCAGCCAGCATCGGACCCTCCCGGGGTTTCCCATATGCACTGAAGCAAAGGAGCTTCTGGAGATGGAAGGAAACCAGATAACCCTGGACAGCCTTGACAAGGGCACAGATAACCCAGCTTTCAGCTTGGAGGTAAGTTTCCCTTCCCTTCCCTTCCCTTCCCTTCCCTTCCCTTCCCTTCCCTTCCCTTCCCTTCCCTTCCCTTCCCGGTGCTCAGTTAATGGTGTTTTCCAGGGAGAAAACAGACACTATGAGGAATGTGGTGATCCACACAATGAGAGCCAAGAGGAGAGAAGAGAAGGGAGATTCTCCTCCTACTGCAGGTGGGATGATCTGCACAGATGTGTGAGCTCTGTCAGAGTACAAACCTGGTTTGGGAGCAGAGTAGGGCGGTATCGAGGTGGGGACAGTGTCTGACGGCTCCGTGTGGCCCTGTAGGGTGCCACAGGCAGGTCTCTGTCCCCATAGCAGGTGATGGTGAGCGTGCTGGGGTGCCCACCTGTACCACCTCCTGCTGCTGGCAGTGCCCAGCAGGAGCCACGCTCATGGCCTGGCTCTGCTGGGTTGGTGCACTTGGGGTGGTTTGGCTTGGGCTGATGTTTCCTGTCCATCTTCTGCGTCTCTCCTGTCTCTGGCACGTGACTCTCCCCAGGAAGGCCCTGCAGCCGGCATCCAAGGCCCAGCATTTCTGCAAGGCTCATGCCAAGGTGCTGAGAAGAGTTCTCCTGGGGCTCCTTGCAGTAGGTGAGGACTGAGACTCCACGTCCCCACCCCTTTGGCTGGCTGTGCCTCCAGACTCCACTGACTGAGCACTGTCCAGTGTGTGGAGGTTGTATCCACCCCCAGCAGCCTCACTGCCCCCTCCTCACCCCACCACTGCTGCCCAGCTCTACCTTCATTCACCTCACTGTCCCCCTGCCCTTTCTCCTCCTGCCCAAAGGGTTTACTGTGCCCCTGCTGCTCCCTGCTGCGGCGGTGCTCTTCAGCTCTCCTCACGCAAAGATGGGATCCTCAAGGGCGGCCAGGGAAGGACATTGGGAGGAAATAAACCTTGTGGTGGCCCCAGTGAGTTATGGACCCATGATGCTACAGCCCTGATGTTTCTGACTCCCAATGTGCCTTCTCCAGCCTACCTGTGCTACTTCATTGCGGCCTGCTACCTCAACTTCCAGCGAGCCCTCGCCTTGGTGGTGATAACTGCTGTGGTTGTCTTCTTCATCTGCTGGGAGCTCTTCCAGAAGCACTGTGGGGCAAAGGTTCTGCTGCTCCTCCGCCCCGTTGGGAAGTGCTTCCAAAAGGCCTGGCCATGGCTGAAATGGTGAGTCAGGAGAAGGAAGGGCCAGATCCCTCCCAGCAGCTGGGTTCCCTCCCACGGCTCTGCATGTGCCAGGCTGGCACCTGGCAAATGGTGAGCATGGCCCAGCCTAGGGACCCCTTAAAAGCATTGCAGAGATGTCTGTGTGCTCTGCCACAGTAGTGATGGCTGTTCACAGCCTCACTTGTGCCTGAGCCCCAGGTTTCTGCACAGACATGGACCTTACAGTGGCAATTCCACACAGTGGGCTCCTGCCCCTCATGAGCTTCCCTCCCTGTGGGGGGACATCATCTTGCTGACAGTCTGGGGTTTCCTCTGCAGGCTCCTGTGGGTGGCCCTCCTGGCAGGCCTGATTGTGTGGCTGGTTTTGGACACTGGCAGAAACCCAGAGCAGCTCATCTCATTAAGTGGCTTCTTTGTTTTGGTGCTGTTCCTGTTTGCCTGCTCCAAGCACCACGGTGCGGTACGTGCTCCAGGTGTGACTGACCATCAGGCCCCTTGCAGGAGGTGACACCCAGCACTGGAGAAGCTCTTTGTTCCCCCTTGTATCCCCTTCTCTGGAGGAAGCAGAAGCTGGGTGAAGCCTGAGGAGCTGAACTGGTTGGGTGGATAGACCCCAAAGCCACCTCACTGCTCTTCATCCCATTGCTCTCCTTCCCACTTCCCAACCCAGGGCTCCCCTGCATGCCTCTGTCCTGTTTTCTGCCATGTGGGTGAGACCCAGAAACCCAGCACCAGACCCACACCTGGGCTTCAGGTGCCTGGGGAGCCTTGGTCAGAAGTGATTGAAATCCTGGTGGCTTCCAGCCCAACCTGCTGCAATGCTTTGGGCAGTCTCTCCATCCTGCCCCTGTTATTGAACAAACAGTTTCAATCTAGCAGCTCTGTGCTACCAATCATCCTAAGGTCTTTGTGCTTGTATCCCTGGCAGGTTATGTTCCAGCCAGTTCCAGAGTCTCACCAAGTCACTTCTGGCTCTGTCACCAACCCACATTTGTTGGTTTCTGTAACACTTTACTGGTCTCCCCATGATCTTCACCCGGGGGCAGTGTGTGGTATTTGTTGTGTGATGGAAAGCAGAGGGGGAAGCCTGTAGGCCTTGAAAACATTTCATCTCCTGTTCTGCTTTTTGTCCCCAGGTGTCCTGGAGAGCCGTTATCTGGGGCCTTGGTTTGGAGTTCTTACTCGGACTCTTTGTCCTGAGAACGACTCCTGGCAACCAAGCTTTCCAGTGGCTGGGAGACCAGGTCCAGGTACTGCATCTACTCATCCCATCCTGTGCTGTACCCTGAGATAGACAGGAAAAGCAGAGTGTGGCATGGGGAGGGGACCCGGCAGGGATTGCATGCTCGGGACTGGAGGGCAGCCAATTCTTCCCTGGTTTTCTGCAGCAGCCCAGAGCCGTCTGTGTGCTCCCCTTTCCAGGCTGTAGCAGGGCCCTGTGGCTTTGGGACAGCCCACCAGGATCCCCATCTTAGGTCTCAGAGCGGCATTCTCTGGTGTGCAGTGAAGTGAGCTGTGGGACTGGGGGCACAGCCCCTCATTAGGCAGAATGAGATATCAGGGAGGGACCTGATGGAGATCTGTGTCCTACAGTGTAACTTCTTCCCTTGCAGTACTTCCTGGGCTACACCACAGCTGGCTCCAGCTTTGTCTTTGGGAACACACTCATTGAAGATATCTTTGCCTTCCAGGTCAGTCAAGGAATGGGTAATGGGGCATGGGGAGGTTTTCTTCTGGTCTGCCTCTTTGCTGGGTCCTGGGGAGCACAGAGCTAAATGCAGCCAGATCTGCTGTGGTAGAGCTCAACCATCTCAGAGCTGATCTCCCTCAGCTGTGTATCCACCTGTGGGCTTCCACAGTGCCACGGAGGACTTGCACTGGTCCCTGTCCCTCCTGCCAGCCTGGCTGGGTGTTGTGGCACCCCAGCAGCGTGGGCTGGCTGTGCAGTACCACACCATGCCCAGCCTGGTGCCCATGGGCGCTGGGATGCGTGGCTCAGCTCTACTGTAACCCTGTGCCTTGCCTGCAGAGCCTGCCCATCATTGTTTTCTTCAGCTGTGTGATGTCCATCCTCTACTACCTCGGTGTCATGCAGTGGATTATTCTCAAGGTAGGGCCTCACTCCTTATCTGGGATGGCAGTGGGAAGGAGAAGAACCTGACTGGGCTCTCTGTCTACTATGGTCAGCTGAGAGATGTCCCAGAAAAATTGTCATGCTACTAATTTGGGGTGATTTGTCCTGCTTAAAAGGATAGACACAACCCCTGTCTTTCTAGCACATCCTTCTCAGAAAGCTTAAAAACTGAACCCTAGAGCTGATGTTTCCTCCTGGTCTGGAGGAGCTTCCCAGAATCACCTCCATGCAGGGGCCAAACAGTGCCTGGCTTGTGGTATGGTGGCAGGGTGCCTGCAGCTCTGTCAACACAGTGGCCTTGTCTTTCCCCAGATCTCCTGGGTGCTTCAAATCTCAATGGGCACCACTGCCACCGAGACTCTCAGCGTGGCAGGGAACATTTTTGTGGGACAGGTAAGGTCCTGGTCTGGCAGCAGATGCAGCTCCTCAGTGCTTGCAGCTGAGCCTGCCCTGGAGAAAGGGTCTTCTCCCTCCCCCTACGAGACCCTGTATGGCCCCATCCTGAGGACAGCAGGGTTTTCTCCTCCTCCACAGACCGAAGCGCCGCTGCTCATCCGCCCGTACCTCGCAGACATGACCCTGTCAGAAATCCATGCTGTGATGACTGGTGGCTTCTCCACCATCGCAGGCAGCGTGATGGGTGCCTACATATCCTTTGGGGTGAGTAGCTGGATCCACATGCTCCCTGCCACAGGCCACTGACATGACAGGCCACTGACATGCAAGAACTGCCCTGGACTTGGGGAAGACCCCCAGCAGGTGCCTCATGTCCCTTTCCCCACGCAGGATGAGAGCAGGGTGTCCAGACCCACCTTGTCCCCAAGACACCTGATCCAGCCCCACCTTTGCTGGCCTGGCCAGAGCCCTGGAGCCCTGCCAGGTAGAAGGCAGTGCTATGGGACCCTTACCCTGTGTCCCTGCACAGCGAGCAGAGCAAATCCCACAGAACCATGGGATAAGACAGTCCAGAAAGACCCTCTGGTGGGGGGTCTCTGACCCACCCTCCTGCCAACTGAGGTTATGGCAACTGAGGGGATGCCCAGGACCTTGTCCAGGTTGGTGGTGAACATCCTATGGATGGAAATTCCCCCAACCTCTCTGATTTCCCCCACAGGCACCTCAGACACAAGAAACAATTTTTCCTTATATTCAAATGAAACAGTGTCTGTGATTCTCACCTTTTCACTGACTATCACTGAGCAGTGTCTCCCCTCCAACCCCATTTTAAACAGAAACAGCAATACCCAGCCCCCTCCTCTTCTCCCAAGGGAAGAATCCCTGCTCCTCCAGCATTGCCTGGACACGTCTGGCACCAAGCCTCCAGGGATGCCCTCTCCAGTTCATCAGTGCTCCGAAAAAACCTTTCCCTTAACCTGATGCCTGAGCTCCTGCTATTTAAACGTTAATTAGTGTCCTTAAATGGGGAACCAAAGGTGGAAGGTCAGAGAAATGAGAAGTTGCCAGGGGAGGGGTGAGGCTGGGATCTTGGCCCTTCGTCAGCAGGTAGAAGGTAACAGTGTTATTCAACATATTGCTCTGATACCAATAAAAAGGGACAAGGAAGGGACAAGAACCATTATGATTAAGTCAAACAGCAGGAAAGATTACCATCACCAAGGCTACAATCTCTGCAGCTCCAGCAATTGCCTCCATGCAGGCAAGCTGCCCCATGTGCACGGCTGCTTAGATGGGAAAACAGCCAATTTTCCCACCTTCAGCAAGTGGAGAGCCCTGAACTGCTCTGGGTGTCACTGGCTGATGCCAGGCACGTGCTGGAATGCGCTGGGGTGGCAGTTCACGGGGCGCAGCCCTGCGCAGAGGTGCCTATGCCTGGTGTGCACGTTGCAGATTGATGCAGGATCACTGATTGCAGCTTCGGTGATGGCTGCGCCCTGTGCCCTCGGCATGGCCAAACTTGTCTACCCTGAAGTGGAGGAGTCCAAGTTCAAGGGCAAAGCAAGCGTCCGCATCTCCCGAGGGTGAGTGTGAGCAGAGGGGCAGTGCAGTGGGGCTGCACGTGGCCGGGCACTGCAGGGGAGCCGTGCTGGCACTGCGGGGTGTGCCCACATCCATGGAGTGAGCGCCGACCTGGCAAGGGGGTGCCCAGCCAGATGAGTACATTGGGGTCTGTTTCCACACAGGGAAGAGCAGAACATCTTGGAAGCTGCTAGCAATGGGGCTGCCAACTCAGTGGGGCTCGTGGCCAACATTGCGGCCAACCTCATCGCCTTCCTGGCCGTGCTGGAGTTCATCAACGCTGCCCTGCGCTGGTTCGGGGAGATGGTGGACATCGAGGGTCTTACCTTCCAGGTATCCCCAAGAGCCAGCAGATCCTGCATCCCCCACCCATCCCCACCTCAGTGGGCTGCTGAGACCATGCTGGGTTTTTGGCAAACACTGGCAGCAGATGTCCAATCTGGCGGCCATGCAGGTCAGCTCTGAGTCGTTCTCTTCTGGGATGCTTTTCCCAGGTGATCTGCTCCTATGTCCTCATGCCTTTGGCCTTTCTCATGGGAGCAGACTGGGCAGACTCACCGATAGTGGCTGAGCTCCTGGGGATCAAGATCTTCCTGAACGAGTTTGTGGCGTACCAGCAGCTGTCCACGTACAAGAAGAACCGTCTGATGGGCTTGGAGGAGTGGGACGGGAGCCGGAAGCAGTGGATATCTGTGAGGGCACCTGCCACCCTGCCAGGCACAGGGCAGGGATGGAGCCAGCTGGAATGGGGCATGGCACCTGCCCAGGCAGGGGGGAGCAGGCAGGAGAGGACCAGAGAACCATTTAGTTTGGAAAAGCCCTCTAAGATCATTGAACCAAGGATGATGGTGCTGGGAGTGGGAGGGCACTTGGATGTTTGCTAATGGCTGGGTGTGGGAAGAAGTAGTCAGTAAAGCCCTTTCCCATTTATCCTGCTCCTTGATGGAAAGATCATGGTGCTACAGGGATCCTTGTCCCCCCCAGCCCAGCCTCTTCCAGGAAGTGCCTTCATCCTTGCTCCCAAAAACAGCTGACAGGGGAGGGATTGGGGTGGGAGACTTCTCTCTATCATGTCTGTCTGGGAGCTCCAGTGTGGTGCTCAGCTCTGGGGCTGCTCCTGGGCAGACGTGACTATCCCCTGCTGCTGTGCCCTCCAGGAGCGAGCCGAGAGCATCACCACCTTTGCCCTCTGCGGATTCGCCAACCTCAGCTCCATTGGCATCATGCTGGGAGGCCTGTGTGAGTGTGACTGACATCCTGAGTGCCTGGGCACTCTGGAAGTGGGGTCCTGGGTCAGGGAGCAAGAGCTCAGCTGAGGCAGGAGGAATTTGCTGTCCTCAAGCCTCCATGTTTGGTCTCTGCCAGATAAAAAACCAGGATTTGCATGAGGCAACCAGGATGATTTTGCACTGTACCCATGGGCAAGCCTGGGTATCACCCAGCCACAGGGGAAAGAGCAGAGAGACTCCTGTGCTGGGGGTGCTCAGGTGGATCACCCATAGGTGCTGGGTGGGCACAGATCTCTGCCAGGATGGACAGACAGCGGACTGGGTGCTGGCTGGGATCACCACATCCTCCAGACAGCAGGAGCTGGGGTGGGCAGGGCACTCAGGACTGAGGAGGGTATCATGATGTCCCCATCTGTCCCCCATGCAGTGCAGAGCAGGAGCAAGGATCTGACTGACCCGCCTGTCTGTTCTGCCCCCACAGCTTCCATGGTGCCCGAGCGCAAGGGTGACTTTGCCTCCGTGGTGCTGCGGGCGCTGCTCACTGGCATGTGTGTCTCCATGCTCAATGCCTGCCTGGCAGGTAGGTCTCTGCCCACTGGCAGCAGGGCCAGAGAGACCCAGGGAGGGGCAGGCACAGGGCTGAAAACCCCATAAATGCAGCATTCAGGGATGGAGGTGGCTGGCCTGGCTCCCCATGGCTCTGCCTTCAAACCCTGCTCTCCCCTCATGGCTCTGCCAAGGGCAGCCCAAGCCCAACAGCTCTCCTGGGGCCCCTCATCCTTCTCTGGGCTGGAACATTTCAAGGGCAACTTCTGGAGTGTGGCAAGGAGCTCCCTGAAGTCTTGGGGGGTGAGGTGGAACCTGCACAGTCCCAGGTACAGGATTTGCAAGCAAGTATAGTCACGGTGTGGGACTTGTGAGCAGGCATGGGGTACAGAGCTCACAGCTTGCTTGAGGCATGGAATTTGGATCCATGGTCCCTCTCAAGTCCCAACAGAAGACCTTGCCCCCCAGGTCTCCTCCATGTGCCAACAGAGGTGGGTGACTGCGCCATGTTCTTCAACACCACCAACTTTAGCTCGACGAGCTACACCATGTACACCTGCTGTAAGCAGCTCTTTGCCAGGTGGGTGTGAGGGGCCCCAGAGCCATCTGGTCCTGCCCAAGGACCCGGTGCTGGGGCAGCAGCTTGTCCTGACTCTCTCTCTCCTTCCAGCTCAGTGCTCCAGAACGGGACTCTGATCTTCACGGGATCCTGGGGTGAGCAGGCAGGCAGCAAGCAGTGGCTCAAGGAGTGCTGTGCACACTACAACCACACGTCCTGTGCGTGGACATTCTAGAACTGGGGGAGCACCAGGGCCTACAAGGCCTATCCCCAACAGCAGAAAAAACCCCAACAGGAACCTGAGCGTCTGGTCTTCTCCACTCCAGTGCCGACAGACAGCTGCGTGCACCCTGCAACCTGCACCCTTAGATGCTGGCCCTGTGGACACGAGGGAGCAGCTCCCAAATAAATTATGGCAACCCTTGTGTGCTTGCCCTCAGACCCCTGACTATGGCAGTTGCACACAGCACAAGGTGGTTTGCTGGGGCTGCACCCCAAGCCCACTGCAGACTGGCTGCTGCCAGCCTTGGGTTCTGGCCCCAGCCCCTCTCTTCTTCCCCACGGGACATGGATGGAACACAAAGCCAACCCGCTGTACTTGGGTGCAGCTCTCCCAGAGGGACCACAGTGCCAAGGAACAGGCCAGTCCTTCTCACTTTATTGCACTCGAGAGCACCCAGTCCAATGCAGCCGCGTTCCGTACATCGGTATCTCACAGTCACCCAAGGACAAAGGACCTGGAGCCCAGAGCACACCACGCTCCCAGCCCAGCCCCTTACCTCCACCAGGCTGCACTGAGCCACTGCTTGGGACCCCATCCTGCAGGGTGCAGGCACCCAGCACCCTCCTGCAACGCCCTGAGGAAGCGGATGCTCTGCAGGGTGAGCGAGCAGACAGCTCCTGTGCCTGTCCATCACTGCCTCGGGCCAGGGGCAGCAGGATTCAGAGTGGGTACTGCCAGCTGCTGCTGGAGTCCAGCCTGTGCCAAGCAGGGGTGGTGCTGAGCACCAGATTGTGCTGTGGGGCTATGGCATACAGGGTCTATGTATGGCAGGGGGCAAGGAGCAGCGATTCGGTATATGGGATAGACACCCCCATATACCAAGGCAGAGCCTGGTATGGAGGGGAAGTCGCCCCTCTGCCCTGCTCCCTGATATCCCATGTGAGGTAGAGCATCCTTACCATAGCACCAGCCACCATCCACAGCAGCACAGCCACCCAGCAACGGGGTGGGAGACTTCCCTGGGAAGCAGGGGAGGGCAGGGGTGCAAAATCCCAGCCCTATGCAGCTGCTGGTACCAGTGGCAAACACCCTGCCCTGGAACCAGCCAACACCCCAGAGCCCCACACCATAGCAGAGGAGCCCTGCAGCAACTGCTGGAACCCTCTGCAGGAAAAAGGGTGTGCCAGGGCACTGGGGACTGCCTGGGCACTGGTGGGGGTCTCATCCTTGACAGCACTGGCAAGGCTTGGCCCGGTCACTTTATGGGGACACAGAGAGGGACATGAGGTGCTGGGAACCACGAGGGCGTCCAGGACTCCCAGTCTGCTGGGGAGCCAGGCAAGGACATTCTCCCTCGAGCCTACAGAGCTCCAGGGAGAAGCTCTGCCCCTGCCTTAAGGAAGGCCTATGGAAAGTTGAGAGAGGAAAGCGAGTCCGAGCGTGGAGAGGCCCTCGGCCCCACAGGCTCCAGCAGCAGCTCCTGGAGAGAGGCACTGGGGAGGTGGCCTGTGCCTCATAGCCCCCTGGCCCGGCCCAGCCACTCACAACTAGCACACACCACACAATGCAAGCGCTGCGGGCCGGGCAGGAGAAGGCCACTGCCAGGGTCTCCCTTCTTCACTGCTCAAGTGCTGGGCCCAGGCTGGGGGCCAGAGCAGGAATCTCAGCTGCAGCAGCTCTGACTACTGTGGGCAGCCAGCTCTGTTGCTCTCTCCTGACCTGGGTTTGCAGGCTGTTGAGGCCTCCCCTGTTTCTGCAGCTCTCCGGGAGCTCTTGGGGCTCACAGAAGCCTTGCGGGTGCTCTGAGGACTTGTCAGCACCTTCTTCTGGAGCTGGGGGCTGGACTGGGCAGACTTCCTGCCCAGGCAGGGACTCTTGGAGCCCTTGGGCTTGGCTGGCTCCAGCATCTTCAGGCCCAGGACGCTGCAGTAGTGATTGCACTTGTGAGCGGCCGGGAACTGCTCCAGCAGGGAAGGAAAGCAGCTCTCCTTCAGCCCCTGGTACCTGCCAACACAGCTATCCTCAGCTCCTGCTCTGCACCAGGAGATGTCCCACCAGGGCAGGGAGGTGAGGATGGAGCCTGACCACGGCTACCACCATGGCAGAGCTGGGGACAGCCAGGGCCACCCCGCTCCAGAGCTGGAAGTCACTCACCCTTTCAGGTTGGTAGCGATCCGCACGTTGGTCAACTTCCAGCCCACTCCTGTAATTTAAGAGGACAACCAGTCTCTGTCCAGGGAAGGACAGCCACCAGTACCAAGGACAGGTCATTGCCCTGGGTAGAGGGTTCCATGGCATGGGGTGGGAGAGGGGCAGGAAGGCAAGCCTGCGGCTTTTCTTCCTTTCCAGACTGGAGGGGGGTGATGGGCCATGGGCACCACACAGGAGATCCCCTTACCTTCCATGTCAGTCACGAGGATGTTTCCATTTGTCCACTGGTAAACCCAGTGCTGGAAGGCGCAGCATTTGAGCACAATCTCTGAGGTGCCTCGTGCCACCAAGCTGCCATCTCTCTCAGTGACACAGTACTGCTCACAGGGCCTGCCAAGGTCCTCCTCCATTGTGGCATAAGGGATGTTGTTGGCCGGACGATAAATCAGGTACAGAGGAATTATCCTGTGTGGGAGTTCACAGACAATGTCAGCATGGTGAGCTCCCCTCCTCTGCAAGTGGAGATTCACACCACAGTCTGCAACCTTGGTTTTTGCCTTCCTCCCAGTATCCCTTCCACTTGTGGGAGTAGAGTGCACTGCCTTTGGGATGCCCCAACACCCACAGGGAATCTTCCCACTGTCCCTACAATGCTCTGCCAGGACATCAAGCCAGGGGAGGTGCAGCACATCACTTACTCAGGCACTGCTCCAAAATCAGGGACTGCTCGTGCCTCAGCAGCAAAGATCTTGCAGTACTCACGACTGGAGTTTTGGACTTTGCATTCCTGGAAGTGCAAACAGAAGAGTCAAGAAGCTGTTCCATCATGCACGACTGCCTCCCTGGGACCACTGCCAATTGTTTCCCTGTCCTGGTGGTCAAAGGGTGATGGGAAAGTCCTGGGCAACTCCACATTGCTCAGATGGAAGAGCTGAAGCTAAGAATGGCAAGGACATGTCCAGCCCCCTGGCTAGAGCACCCCAGAGCAATTCAAAAGTGGAAGGAAATAGCAAAGATGGGCACAGAGCTGGGGACCAACTCACACACAGGTGGGGAGGGTGGGAGGGAGACGGGTGGATGATGGCCCACAAGGATACCTGTCACCCTGTTTTTTGAAGATTTTCTAAGCTTTCTGATGTTGACATTCTTGTAGTGAACTTTCTCACACACTTTCTGTAAATAACTCATTGTTTTGCATTCCTTTATGGAGGAGGAGAAAGTTGATGGACTGTTGGTTTGTCCAGTGTCATTGGAGGGCTGGCACTGTCACCCTCCAATCCACTGTCACTCTTGGAAAACTATAAATGTTGGAGTCAGAAAATAAACTTCCCTTTTTTTCTTCATCTTGAGAACAGCGGTGCGCGCTTGTGTTTTTTCGTGTCCTATAGTGACAGATACCCACCTGGATGGTGATATCATAGTTCTTCTCGACGAGGCTGTTCTCATTCTTGGTCCCGAAGACGATGAAGTTGTGCACTTTGATGACGCAGGTGTGGCCGGACTCGAAGACGGGCTCCAGGCCGTAGATGGCCCTGGCGCGGCAGGCCTTGCGCAGGAAACCGGCACCCACCTCCACGTCCTCGCTCACCACGCGCCCGAAGAGCTTATCCCCCCAATAGCCTGCATCAGCCAAACCCTTGGCAAACACCATGGGTGTCATCTCGATCTCCTCTCCAACTGGTGGGAGGAAGAGCTGGTGAGGAGGGGACAGCATGGGCACGTCCTGCTTCTGCCCCAGAGCTGCCTGCCCCACTCAGCAAGGGGCAGAGTCACAGCTCAGCACGTGGCCCTTACCTTCAATCTCTTCCCGCAGGATAAATCCTGACAACACTAGAGGAGACAGAAAGCAAAGAGGTGTCAAGGCCCTGCAGGATCCCACCTTGCCCCATGCACTTGCACAGTTAGGGATGGCAGGTAGGATGGTGGGAATCAATTGGCACACAGAGGCAGAAGCACCTCACAGAGGTGGTGTTACAGAATGTGCCAAGGCTCCCCCACTGCAGCCTGGCACCAAGCCTTCTCTGCAGTTGGCCACACTGCCCCACAGCACACCCAGGAAGCTGTGAGAGGCTGCTGAGGGCTCCTCACCTTCTGGGCTGAGCAGGAAATCTGTGGAGTCGGTGCCGTACTCGTTGCTGATCACACACCGATAGACTCCGCAGTCCTTCTGGGATGCCTGCACAACAGCCAAAGCTGCCTGGCCCTCATCACCAGCACTGCAAAAGAAATGGAACATGACCACATCCCTGTGTGGTGGTGGGGCCACACGGGACCCCTGTGACAGGCACTGTGGGTGGGCAACATCCTGCCCTTGGGTGGATGGAAGAAAGCTACAAACAAAGCCATCCCAAGGGCAGCCCAGCTGCTCCCCCAGCATGTCACAGCACCACAAGTCCTGCCCCTGTGGTTTGTACTAACAGAGATGCTTATCCTCCAGACAAGTCCTGCAAAATCTGGCCAGGATTGAGCTACAGACTGATAAGGGTACTTGTCCCTGAGTGAGGCTGGGTCAGGGCTTCGCAGAGAGAAGAGGTGGGACCCTCATCCTGAGACCCACTCTGCTCTGGTTTGCTGGAAGACAATAGCCACTCCTTCCCATCTCCCCCAGGCCAAATATCTGCCACAGGAGGCAATTTCTGCCCCAGAATCACCTAACTTACCATCTACTCATTATAAAGGGAGCTCAGGGAACACCAATGGCATCAGGCACATCCTAAGTGATGTGGATGATGCTCCTACACAGATCCTCTGGGTTTGAGAACAAGCTGCTCCTCCTCAGACCCAAAAGATACAACCAGCCACCCAGCTGTCTGAATATGCACTATCAATAGATGAACTATCCCTGTGCAAGGGCAGTGCCAAGGGACAGAGAAGGCACAGTCAGAGCTGTTCTTTCCCAGCAGTGGTTGCATGGAAGACCCTCCCAGCACTGCTGAGAGGCTGCCACCCTCACGTGGATCCTTTGGGGTCCCAGTTTTGCAGTTCACATCCAGCTCTTGACTTTTGTGATGGGCATAACACCTTTTCTGCCCTCCCCAAGGTATGGGTACC